CTCACGCAGGATGCTCACGCAAGAACTGCCAGGCTCTGCTAATCGCTGGCGCCCAAGAATGTCTAGTCCTTTCTGTGTTTGTGCTGGGAGTTGCGCACCTTGCAGTTAGAGCTTGTATGACCAATAACGCACGGCAGGTACATGAGCTGTCACTCATATGCAGGCTACCTGGGGGCTCAAGTTGGGTGTCAGCTGCTGAAGCAAGTAGGCACCACGATCAGCGATGACATGCAAGTCACGGGCTTCTAGCTTTGAGCCTGCAATGCCTGATGAACATAGTGGAGACGCGTGGAGAGGTGGTGCAATACTGCGGCTTGCAGGTTGGCTCGGGGCGCTAGATGGCGTGTGGTGCTGCATGACACATTCTGGGCATTGTGCATTGCACAACAGCAGAGCGAAGGTCGAGTGCTATTGTTGGTGTTCCGGCCCCGGGCATGCGGCGACGCGCAGCGGATTGTGTATCAGTCTCAGGCCGACGTCACAAGCATGTTGAGTGGTCCTTGGGCCTTGTATCTGGGTTGTAGGCAGTGCAAGATGAGGGGTAGAGAGCGCTAGCTATGGAGTATACTCCATGGCAGACAGATCACTACTCTGTGAGATTTTTGTTTGAGCACGACACCAGAGCGAGGATCATATATGAGCACATGGGAAACTCTGACCTGGTATTTTGGAAGTGCGGAGAGACTGGATGCGGTGGAAATAACTGCGAAGGCTTTCACCACTAGTGAATTGACTGGCTTGGCTTGGCCCAGAGGCCAATGGCTTTGGCTTGGCTTTGCCAGGCTTAGGCTTGTAAAAACATAAGCCAAGCTGCAAGCCGCCGCAAGCCATAAGCCAGTGGCTTGGCTTTGGCTTGGGCCGCGGCTTGAAACCTAATTAGGCAGGTGCTGTGGATTAACCTTGTCAACGGTTCCACAGCTGCCACACGTAGATATAGGAGTATGTACAACATTTAAAGAGTTTCTTTGTATAGTATGATGTCTAAATACATACTCTAAGATATAATTTAGATGTGAAACATCAATAAAGTTGTTCCAGAAACTTGAACTTCATACAAAAGGAAGGACGCACTGCCAAATAAAATGTGTGGATGCCAGAGACAGTGCATGCGTGAGTGGTGAACAGCGGAGGCTGACACGATGTGGCAGACACCTGTCACAGTCAGGGGTGCCAGGGGTGCTGGCGAGCCACAGGAGGTGCACAGCGACGATGGCTCTCATTGATGCCTATCTGCCTGCTGCAAGTGTGACCTCAGAATGCGCCGCTGCATCCACACGGCACAGCAAAGGCAGAGGCAGGAAGAGCGACATGGCCTCGCAGAGTTGCGGTCAAGGGTGTCCAGGGGAGAGGTGGCAGCCAAGTGGACATCAGGCATTGGGCAGCTAGTAGGGACCTCTAGCACTTGCCTTGCCATCTTGAACTGGAAGGTTCTGCCCTTGCAGGCAGGTGCACCCACCTGAACAAGCCTCTCCTTCCATGTGTGGCAGAACCTTGCAAAGCCGTTTGGGCAGAGGCCTGCAATGTTACACAGCAGCCAGTTAAGTGGGGCAAGCGCTGGCGCCCCCACTATGTTTCTTCATGGTGAGGCTCAGTCTTATTAATAATCTATTGATCTATGTACATTAGAAGATAGATGGGGTAGAGGAGAGCACAATATAATATTTTATGAATTTATCGCTAATTACTCTAACAGCAGTACTACATACAGTAAGTTTATTATCCAAAGCTGTGGCTTGCTGGCTTGGCTTGGCTGGCTTGACATCCAAGCCAAGCCAAAAGCCTTTCCAAGCTGGCACCCTTTGGCTTGGCTTGGCCCAGCTTGTGCAGGCTTGGCTTGGCCTGCTTGCTGGCTTGAAGCCGAGCCAGTCAAATCACTATTCACCACTCTGTGGTCTCATCTGTTTTGGACGTTCCTAACTGATAGTTTGTGCGTTTAAGTGTTGTATCGTTGAGATATGAATGAAATGATTATATTTGCGATGGTTGATACTCATCCTTGGATGTCGTCAAGGGCGGTGGCCCAAAAGGCTCGAGTGCAGTGGGCCGGGAGCAGACAGCCAGAAGCTTTGCTTACAAAGCCGTGCCGCTTTCAGCTGACCAGAAGCGCTCCAGGGAGTGGATGACCTAGAATGACCTTCCACCAGCATAGCTGGTGACGGGTAATTTTGTAAGCATTAAATTATGTACAGACATGTTCAAGAGCAATAAATCTTTTAAATTTTGCGCCATCCTTCCCCTAGTAAACTAATGTCACCTACAGACAAGTGCTTGCTAAGTCTCGAGAAACCTGTCGTGCATAATGAATGGTATGGGCTACACTTACCACCATAATAATGACTCCTGAACGAAGACTGGTTGCAAACACACCGCATCTCGCCACAGCTTCATCTGCCTGCTCGTAACACACCTATGCAATCTGCCTATGTACTTATAGCCCTTATATAATGCTGCTATCTCTCCTGCTGTGCTATAAGCAATTCGTGTTCACACTCTGCTAATAGTACTACGCCAAGGTGTTGATGTGGTTGAGCAGCCGCAGCGGGAACAGGATCTCGCTCAGGATCTCGTACCACGCACTGCACTGGGGGTACTTCAGGGCGTTCAACGAGTGCGAGGCGTCTTGCCGTGCGTTGCATATCCAGTTCAGGAGACAGCTCTCGTGCGCGATCAGGGTGCACTTGCACGGGTGGACCCATTGCACCCAGGGCTCCGACGGCACTACATAGGCTGTGAGTGAGTGATGGAAAACCGTGTGGGTCGGCTGCGACAAAGGAGACGCACGGTCATAGTATTCCTCATCATATGTTACAATGTTTTCCTCACCTGCATTATCTACCCAAAGCGACGCCGCTGACACCTTCTTCCCATGCTCCCGTATGATCAATAGTCAATTTACGCAAATTTCATCCCGCAACTGTACCCTAAGAAAAGCTGTCGCAGACTGATTACGGTTGATCATGTAGTATATATAATAGGCAATATAATCTGTACAAATGGATTGTATCATGCTTGCGTGCTCGCGACGACGTCTGGGAAAAAGCTTCGCGAAATCGGATGGGGTGGGCGCAAGCCTACTGCACACAAGTTTGTTCGTGCCTTGGGAATTAGACTCATAGGCGCCGGCTGGCACATTAGCGCAAGCTCGGGTGCAATGGCTGATAGTCACGTGACTTTTGAGCGTGCACGGTTTGGTCCATAACCCGATTCTAGGGGAATCGGAACAGCGCGTCGGATCACCGCCGTGTAAAGCGACTTAGACTTATGCAACGTTTGCCCCCACTCGCGTAACTAAATAATGTGCTCCAGCTGTGAATCTAATTTATTCACCATAGCACAGGATAGTACAGTACGTCATACCAATACAGACGCGTGGGCTATTACTTAGGACAGAATGAACTCCTTGGACTTCCAGTACTTCACCCACATCGCGGCATGCGCTTGGCTCAGTGGAGGGAGCTTGCGAATTACCGGGCTCGAGCTCTCAAGTAGCGAAGTCGCGTACAGCACGCTCTTTTCAGAGCCGGAATCGCGCCGAGAGGACATGTCCCGAAAGAATGCAACGAGCTTGATTGCAGGCTAGACGGAGGGTGACGATAATTCAGTTGCCGTCAGCCTATGATTGTCGGCTTATAAAGTGGAAGCTCACGATGCGATCCACATCCGGGGCAGTCGCTCTCGCTGAGAGAGCCTCTACTTGCTCCACCCACTTCGACAATGTCACAAGCGGAATGGGTCTGGCGAGCCCTTCCTCAAGACCTTGCAAGATGACCGTCCACGGTGTTCTCTTCGGATGAACAAAGTTCACTAGGGGAGGGAGTGGGTCCTTCGAATATACCCAATCGGAATACACCTGTCCGATAACGTCAAGCGGCACCCAATCAACGCTCTGTGCAACGCGTATAGTCTCAGTCCAACTTCAAGCTGAACGGGGTCAAACATGGGACTTACTCCAGGCATATCCGGAAGACTCTCGAGAGCAACGCTCGACTTCACCATGATAGGAAACCATTCGGTCGTACCCCATGATCCCGTAGTAATGGATCCACATGCTTGGCCCATCCTGACGGTCGTTACCTGGACGCCGTTCGTCGCTGCAGCGCTGAGGATCTGATAGGCACGACTTAGAGCTCAGAACCCACCACGCGCCCATTATTACGGTGACGCCCACCTGCTCCGCCACATATTTCGAGGCACTGTAACCAGTGGCGACTGCGACCTTCGGGTCCTTTATGACACTTTCAGGCACCGCACCCTTGGATTCTTCCCACTTGCTTGCGACACTGATCGACGACGTGAAGATGATCTTGATCGTTCTGCGAGACTTTGCACAGATATCCACCAGCGCTCGGACACCGGCGATATGGGAGTGAAATGACCGAAGGGGAAGGTTGAAGTCGACGGTCCATGCGTTATGGACAATGTGAGTGACAGACGTTAGGATCTGAACCATGTGCGGATGAAGACATGATCGTAAATGTGGATTAAGCAGTCGTACCTCCTCATAGGTTGAATTATCGAGGCCCCAGTTCTCCTTGGTAGTGTCGCCGACGAGCACCGTGAGCCGTGCCTCATCCTGCGGCGTGACTGCAAGCCCCCGCTCGGACAGCGTGGTCAGCAGATGCTCGATTCCATGAGTCGAAGACCTAAGCAATACATAGACTCGGAGCGTGCGGCCGTCACGAAGTAGCGAGGCGAGAATATGAGATCCTATGTTGCCTGTCGCACCGGTCAGCAGGACGACTGCACTCTCGCCTTCGGTCACAGGTACCGCGGGAGCGATCCGCGGCATTTCACTGCAGTGCATGGAGATCAGGTCGCCAACTTCGTCCACCGATGCGCTAGAGGCGATGAGATCTCGACTGTGCGGCAACGATGAGTAGATAGAAGATGAGAGGAAAGATGCAAGCTCTCGGATGATGGGATACTGGAAGATCAGACTCGGTGAAACGCCTGAGCCGGCTTGACTCGCTAGCGGATTGTCGGACGACCGCATGCTGGCGACAATGCGGTTACGTAGGAGTGTTGCACTTAGGCTGCACGTATCATCCAATCAGAGAAGCAACGATAAATTCAAAGCGCAATGATATACCTGTCGAAGCCTTGTTCCAACAGGCTGCTTTCAGCCACCGGTACCTTGCCACCGTTGGTAGAAGTCGCCTGCTCAAGTAGCCAGGGCACCAAATCTTCTTCTTTCCATGTCCTGGGGTGTGTTGTATCCTGCATACCCGTACCAGTGACGATGGCATCGTACCTGAGATTCGTGAGGACGGCCTCAGTATCGAGCAAGGCTTTCCACTTACAGACGTCGAATTTCCTCGTCATACAGGGATATTGCTTGCTTTCGGATGATGGTGCCCTTTGCTGCGCGCGGGGGAGGCCTCTTTGGGTTGGCAATAATGATCATCTCTTGGAAGATTCTGGCAAACGCAGGGGCCTCTGCATTCGCCTTTTCCACCCACGGCCTGCACGGCAGTCAAAATCTGCTTGCGAAGAATGCTAGAGTACTTAACAGAGGCTATTCCTGAAGTTCGTGAGTGCGGCTTCATCGTCCAGATTGAGAGGTACGCTTGGCTCGACGATGATTCCAGGCAGTTCCCTCTCACGCCCGAACATGACGCATCCCTTCACTATCCCGCTGGATAAAATTTGATCTTCCTGTGGAATAGGGACAACTTTTTCTCCTGCAGGCAGCATGATTCAGTGTGCACAGAAGCTTGAGTTGCTGTCGCACCTGTGCTCAAGGTCAGGACATCGTCTTTGCGCCCAACACTATACGATTGATTAGTCGGGCCAGAGAAAAGGTGAAATTAAGCTCTTACATGTGCCAGAGACCCTTTCGTGTGGGATGCGGCTCGAATAGGTCAGACGTAGCGTACGCCTTCTCTCCGGGAATATTGTACATGGCTAACTCGTGATTGGGAGTTTCCTTTAAGCGTTCGTCAGCGTCCAGGAGAATGACCAAAGGAGCGTATGAGGTACAGGAATAACCAACTCGTACGTGCCGTCGCTTTGCGGTTCCCATCTAACGGTAATGGTTTTGCGAATCTGAATATACTGCCATGCCGGGTCGACCCCGGACGTGTGCAGTGAACCGGGAGACTCATCCCAAATCCTCACGGGCGTGCCAAATTCGGTTCCACCGTATACGCAAGACAGTTTGATGCCCGCCTGAAATAGCTTTGACCCAGTTGAATGAGACAGCGGTCCACCTGCATAGATCTGAGGCCCGCTGAGAAAGCGCCACGGAAATGAACATGGCATCACGCACTAGGATCTTAAGCGTCTTCAGATAGTCGATAACTTCCTGCGACTGCGACCAGACCTGCTTCACCGTTTACTAAACCCCATGGACGACTCTATATCATTTTCTCACCTCGGCAAAGGACGGGAAGCAGTATAATCCATTGCATCCAGTCAGCTTCGCGGCCTGGTAAACGCTCTGTGGATCGCTGATTATCGGAGGACGAGGATCTTGCGGGGTGTGTAGGGCGACTGGATATGAATTGACAGCAGGATTTAATACATGCACTATGAATCCGAAGGAATGGAACGTCGGTAATCCCATAGCTCCGTAATGAATACCCCGAAGTCGACATGCCATGGTTGAGTCTAAAGAAAGAAGCTGCAGTGAATAAGCGACTTCGCTTGGAATACAGACTGCGTACTTATGTGACCATCAATACGAGGGCCATGCCATCCCCAGATACGTTTTTCGGTAAAAGGGATAGACTTAGGGGTTCCCGTTGATCCCGATGAATGCAGATATATTGCGACGCGATCCGGACGGGCTGGGTGACTCAGATGGGGATAGGGATGACTATCGAAGTCCAGAGAAAGTGCAGTTTGAGCGGGGAATACCGTACTGTAAGAGGGGAGGTCGCCAAGTCGCATTTCGACCCCTTGTGCAGCCATTATTGTCATAACCTGCGTGACCAGATCGGCAGTGAATGAGTGGTAAATTATGCGGCGGCAATTGGTAGCTTTCAGCATCGCGCAAACTGCTGCAGGAGTGTTACGGGGAGACATGGGAAATGGCTTGAATGAAAGATGAGTCCGAGGTTAGCAAAACTGACAAGACGCATACCACAAGACCTGCTCTCATCGCTCCCAAAATCACTGAGACGTATAGGACACTGTCTGTGTGTATCAAAAACGCAACTACTTCGTCCTCTGCGCCTCTCCGTTCAGGACGGAGGATGTGGGCGATAATTTCAGATGCTCGGGCCATTTGAGCGTAAGACACCGCCTCGGTCTTTCCTGGGTCATCTCGAGAAGGGAATATGGCCCACGGCAGGCTGGGGTTATTGCGCGCTTGAAAATCTGTGAGCTGCGGAAGTGTAATGAGAGGACTTTCGAGAGGAGGAAAGGCGCGGTTGGCCATAACGATGGTGTTCAAAGAGGCCAGGTTGCAAGCTCTGAGAGGCTCTCATTCTCCCAGGATAAATAAATGCTTTGGCCGTATGACGATGAACGCCTAAGTGTCGATTCTTCGACTCTAGAATCGAGCAGACAGGAAAACAGGTGTCCTGATCGTGGACTGCCGTGGCTGGTGGCCCAAAAGGTCAAGTGAGCGGCCAATCGTAATCGTGGTTCCGTGCTCCACATTACGTGACACGTACTAGATGGGTTGCATATTGATCACACAAGGTGGTAAGCGCAGTTTTTTTCTCAAGAAAACTCAGACAAAAGCGGCTAAACAAGGCCCCGTTATTCCTCGATTCTACGCCGATGCAAATTGAGGAGAAACCGGTGCAAAACCAGCCAAAAGGGTCTAAAACACAGTAAAACTGGCGGAAAAATGAGTTTTGCCTTCGGTTCTTTTCAAGTGAAAATCGGATAAAGTTGGGGCCTTGTTGGGTCAGTTTTTGGCTGATTTTACGCCGGAAAAAAATGCGCTTACCACCCAGTGTCATGGATACTGCAGCTTCGATGCTTCGCCGGCAAGATGCGTCACTGCCTTCGCTTGCGTAGGGACTAGTCGCACGACCACAGGGCCCCTATTACGCTCATCTTTTCTTTCAGGGCTGCAGGTAAATGGAGGTTTGGCCGCTTACCGTTTCAGCTATCGCAGATCGCGATCACACCGAGGCGGTCCCACAAGGATGATGACATGTCTTGGGCGAAGGACGAGCCAGGACAAGTCTATGCGCGACGAGCCGGGGGAGCGTCTCGCGCTCTCATGATCAGAAAAGCGATGTGATGATTAGGATCAGGACAAAATATGACAGTCTTCCTTGTCACGACAGACCCGAACGAGCTGCATTCCGTTCGCGGCAACAACCTGAGCACGGGCGCTATCGCGCGGGCTCCTATCGGCGCTTCTTTACCTTTCCGTCTCCATCATTTACCTCCATCTTCACCGCCCTTCAGATGGAACAGCGAATATCTCCAGTTTCACGCGGACACCAAGATTCTTCAGCGGCACCCTGGATGGTCAGAGTAGAGGCATTGCTCTCGTGCTTCCTGATAGATGCATCACAAGCCACGGCAGCGAGGTTACCACTCACCGCCTTCGAAAATTGGCGGTACAGCTGGACTCAAGAGCTATCAACTGGATTTCCCAACAGTCAGGCCAGTTGAACCCCAGCATTCGCTTTGATTTTGAGTAGATGGTTGCTCCGTTGCCGTGCATGAGCTCGGTCAATGAACATCAAACGCCGATGACATCGCTGAACTCACGTAAACATTGGCAGGCTTCCTATGATACTGTCCGCCTGAGATCTAGTCACACCCTTTCGACGAAAACAGGACGTCGAGGTCCCACGCTCACGCGTCAATTACCCCTTACGTTGGTACTCACGATTGATTGCCAGACCTGGGCTTCATAGTGCTCGAACAGCGAGATTTGTTCCGTGAGTATTGCCTCTCTCAGACTGGCCAATATGTTGGTAGTTGCGGCAGCAGTACATGGTGCGTGCCATCAACGTCTTCTGCGAAACAAGGTTTTGAATCGCGGCTCAGAACCATACAGGCTGCGCAGGAGTTCCCACAAGCACATGCTACGGCAATTGACATGGGTCCTCTTCCTGACCGGTGGACATTTCCCCGGCATAAATTGATGCATTAACGGTGACTTGGCTCAGTCTGCTGCCACCGAACGAAACATCCCAGCAGGTAGACTCGGACGCCAGTGACCGTTTGGCGCGGGAGTTTTGACACCGCCCATGCCCGGCTGATGATGGTGCGCATACGTAGCCTGTCGAATGCTTAGTGCCACAATAGTTAATAGCTTGGTTAGGTTTACAACGGAAGAGATACACCGAGACGCACAGCCCAGCTTGTGAAGCTTGGTGACCGGTTACTGGAGAAGGATCCTGATGACGTCCAAAGGCCTGACAGTGGACAACCGCTGGTCCTGCATATCATAATCTATGAGTATATGGGCGAGTATCATACGAGCCCGCGGCGCACTGCATAGGAAGGAACCTGAGAGGGTTTGGGCTTGAGCGGCGTATTCGGCAAAATCGGCGTTCGGAAGACTGGTTCCCAATGTTTGGGAAGTGCAATGACGGTAAGTCGACTTGTCTCGTCAAATTCCTCACAACTCACGTCCCTCTCATGTCCCGCGGTTCTACTCCTAGGCCAAGGGTGGCCGATAAGTGGTCTGCGAGTCATAGAGGACAGCTGCGCACCAAAGTTATTGGTATCTCGCACAGTATGGAGAGATCCGCCGAGATGCCTGGTGGCGTTAAGAGGTTGTAGACCCTGCTTTGCGCAGCTTCAAAGGTAGATCGCCGCAGACGAGCTAATGGATGCTTTCGATTTAATTCTGAGCTCGTGCGGCAGGCGCTAACGCAGGTGACCTGCGCATCCGTATAATGCTGACTGGTCATTGCGGGGAGGCTCGTTGAGCGTGCGTATGACGCTGGGAATCTCGCGTCACTGGAGACTTATTCATTGATAGAGACACTGTTGGAACGTGTAATTACCGAGCTCGTCTTCATGACAGAGCTATGATAAACACCGCCTGTGAGCATTCTCTTCCATTTCTCTGATATTGGTACATGTACGGACTCAGGACATCTGTAGGTACCATTCGATGGTTGCTCGCGCACGGTAGATGTCGGGGTCTACTCTGGTAATCTAGGACCAAACTTCATGAAGCACCTACTACGTTCATCCGAATGCTCTCAAGCCTGTTTAAGTGCAAACGTTGTAATTTATCAGCGGTTGGCGGAGACAGAAGGAAGCCCGGTGGCGCGAGTGAGATGGGTCCAGGCACTATGCCCGAGTTCGGCGACATGAGTGCAGCATAGTCCTCTCACCGAGAGCCATCAAAGGGACAATGCCTCGCGGGAGAAGAACAGGCGCGCAGGATGAAAGATCGCGCGTATCACTCCGTCGTTGGACTCTGGCGCGTCGCAGCTCCGTCACAAAACGAGAGCCAGGGCTTCTCGGATTCTGATTGATGCTCCAAGCGCATAGCCGCAGCGTGTCGACGATAAGGCGATTAGAGAGGGTCTTCATGAATCGTGCTGTGAGCATAACAGGGCTATGATGGTCCTGTTAATCCTGTGCATTGGTGTCCCGCCTAGTTCGCTAAGATGTAACGATGGTGGATAGCGTTCAAATCGCTCTCTACTCACGCACGATTTGACAGTTAAGTTGCGGCTGAATTCGGCAGTTTGCCCTCACAGTAGCATATGGCATGGTGATGATTTCTGCGCCATTATAATGAACACGACATCCCGACAACTCAATGCGCATATTGCGCATTATCTGCCCATTAATTGCATTTTTAGGCAGTTCAACCTTGCTACACCCTGTGATTTCTCGTCCTTTATCAACTCCAATATCTCACTTATCTATATAGCTCTCTGAACGCCCTGCAGAAGGTCCTCCATCCGAGAAGAGGCGCTCTGAGACCTGAGGCTTGAGGCTACCACGGCTTGCACAGTATGGCAGATACTTCCGTCCCGCCACCCGGAAGCCCCGGATTTTCACTGAACATTATGGAGTCATTCGGGACGCAGATACTCGGATCCTTGTTCTCCATTGCGCTGTGGGGAGTATCGTGTATGCAGATGTGAGTACTATCTGACCGGCTAGCTTTCTCTTAAAACTGATGGAGAGATGATGATTTTTTCTAGGTTCCTGTACTTCATGCGGTAGGTACAATTACTTTCATTTTAGAATGACATTGCTCAGAAGCCTGCTGTAGCTACGAGAAGGACTTTTGGGGTTTGAAGCTGTTTGTTAGTATTATTCACTACCTCTTTGTTGTAAGTGGTTTGGAACCTGATTCACGTCCGTAGGTTGTCTACCTTTGGTGAGCGATGCCTTCGTCTGGCCAACGCTCTGCTTTTTCTCACCGAAAGCTGCAGGCTACTGGACGCAGTCATTGAGGCTCTCACATGGGTCGGACGTAAGTAAAAAAAAGACGCCATACAGTCTCGTTTGCTCGTGCTAAATTTACTCTGGTAGTTTTCTCGCCCCTGGTCACACACTGGGGATCCCTTCAATACATAATTGAAGTTACACCGTACGTAATGCGACGTTTTACACCTAGTTATCACAGTGGAACTCATTGTGTTTCATCTTCAGGGCTTTCATTGTATGTGGTGTCATGGTTTTTTGTTCTTTCAGCACCTCACTTTCACCTCCGACGGTAGCACCGTACATGGCTTGGGGTACATCTGTTCTGTCACCTTATATGCTAAGCAGCTCCTCATCCCTCGCAGAGTCTTCTCGCCTTTTCGGCACAGTTGTTTTTTATGTATCGCATCTATCGATGTAAGTTGGTGCCCTCTGAGTACTTGGTGGACGTCTGTACCTATTGGCATCTTACAGTTACAGAACTTGAAGGCAAGGGCTGGCCGGTCCGTGTATGCCTGGGTTGTGCCGTGAGCCATATATACTATGCCTACATCCCGCAGCATTGTCAGCTCATATTGAACCTCAGGTGTTAATTGCGTCTTGGCAAATCGGTGCGTGGGTGCGAGCGCATTTTGCTGGTCGCTCACTAGTGCTCTCTGCTCGCTATTCAGTTGGTGCCATCCGTAAGCGCTGTTTTAGCTTTTCTTAGACTTTGCTCGCTAACATGATAGCTCACAGCGTATTCTGTCTGGGTTCTGTACGTGCTAACATCTCGCTTCACGGCATCGCCGCGGCTGCATCATTAAACTACCATTTGATAGGACGAGTACCGAGCCTACGGTCATCGCGGCGCTATCCGTCCATCGTGTGCTCGTACGCCTCACAAATGATTTCTGGAGACGATAGTCAATACTCACGAATGGTCTCTCATAGTCGGTTGGATTCTCGTTTCGTGCCGCCTCGGCATTTACAGATATTCTCATTGCGACCTGGATGACTGTTCTGCTATCTGGTAGCATGAAACGCAGCTCTCCTTTTAGACGGTATGGACCCTTTCCTGTCCCATTATGTTGCACCTTTAGTTCAACTGGCTGTCTGTGGGATACACAGCTCGAATCGCCTCGTCCACAGGCTCATATTCGTTACGATCAACAGCGGAATATGGACCGCGCTCGTGGCACTCATCGACTTCATCCTCGTAAGCCGCGCCGCACTGTGCGTCTCATCCTGCAACCCAACTGATACGGCTCATGATAGATGGCCTGGAACTACTCGCACCTCGAGTTCACAGTCTTCGAATATCCACTCGCGGCACTCTACCTAAACATGGTGCTCGCAAACCTGAATGTGCGCGACTACCTGCGCGGCCAGGGCGGCGAGGTCTACGAAGCAATGCTCGGCGATATGAGCGCGGCACCCCGTAGCACCGATTCGTTCCCGCTGCGGCACATGCGCCAGAATACGACGACTGCAAAGCCAGACGTGCGTTTTTGCGCTGATCTGCCTATCGCTGTGAGTTTGGACGTCGGCTGACAAGCAGGCTGGCAGGAGTCCCTTGCTATCCGCATTGAGACGTCGATGACACTGAAGAGCGATGCGGACTCAATTAAGGCAGGCAAGGTGCGTCTTGCACTACGCTCGGGCGAAGATATTACTAACATCGTCTGTTCAGCCAAGCCTCTGAAGTCATGAGGTGTCGCTCTGCCACACGACCGCAGTGGATGTCTGGGGCATGCAATAGTGGAGTGATCCTGGTGAGGTACATACGTTTGATATATCTGGATGAAACGTCGCAGATGAGAGAAAACAGATCGAGGGTACTTCAGTTGCCATCGTCTTCAATAACGAAAATATGTGTTCAGTGTACCATCACTCTCGAGGTTGAGACGTGGCTGCCTTTAGGAATGAACGTGCCGTCGAAGAAGGTAAAGTCCTTCAGTGCCTTGCGTTCTATGAGAACTGTACGAACTTCTCAGCATACGCATAGTGGTATGAGGCGCAGGGCGTACAGCTGATGAGACTGTCTAGCCGCTGACACTCTTTCAGAAAGCTGTCGACCTTGTGCATCTTCTGTAGCGAATCCTTCGACCAGCCATATTCTGCAACGATAGCTTCAACTTCCTCCCGCAGCGGCTTCGTGTACTCTGGGTGTGCTGCCAGGTGGTACAAAGCATGAGTGAAGCTCTGGAAAGCCAGAGCAGTCAACACACGGTGCCAAGGGGACTCAGGCTTGTGGCTGACCATAGAAAACGTATGGATGGCAGCGAAGCAGACTGCAAGCACACGGGCGGCCAGAGCCCTCGGCTCGCGCTCAATCCCTTCTGCGGCTTCCATGAGCCACTGGAGCAAATCATTCTGATCCACAGGACTTCAGCTGCTGACCAGGTAGCAAGATAGCATGACTCACAGGCTTGTCTGGCCAGTCGTCTCCATACTGTTCCATCATGCTTCGCCGCTCATTGATCGTTGAGCTCAGCAAAGCACACATACGGTCGACATTCATGTCGACTCTATTGATTAGGCAGTTCACGACCCTGCAAGGCATTGCTTAGGGAGGAATGGTCTCCGACTGCGAGGTGATGACTTACGGTTTAAGGGAAGCAGGTACCATGGGAGCATAAGCCTACAGGGGTAATTGCCGCCTGTGATAGACGCCATTATAGCGCTTCCCCTCTCCCGGCCTCGTAAATTGATAATCTCGCTGATGTTGTCCATGAGGTGTTTGCGTTGCGGAAGTGACCATCGCTCAGCCTCGACATGCTTCAACTCCAAAATCACAGGGCGGTCGCCCCGGCATATCGGCATCAAGCACGCCGTGGCGCGAGTCCCAGCTGCTCGCTCGCGCGCACTGGAGTTACCCAGGATCGTGGGTTTTTGGCCAGCTTTGTACGGATTCATATCGAACAATGCCTAGGAGCTGACGCCTTTTCCCAGAGCGGAAATTCTCTGCAAAAACCTACCAAATCATCATGCAAACATTACAGCAAGTGCCTGACGTTTTGCGAGGCCGAGAACGTCCTATGCATGATGGCCGCTCTACAGACAGATTGGCCCATATACTCTATACACCAGGGCATAAGCTCCTCACAATCAACACGTTCGCTCTGAGCCCACCGCTGAAGCAGCATAACTCTCTGAGATGGTATCCATTCCTGACCTTGCCACGATTACTGACATCGACGGACGCACTTTCGATTTTATCATCATCGGTGAGCTTATGCTTTGATCGGCTGTCTGTCGGATATTAAGAACTAAGGAGATACGCATATGCAGGCGGGGGAGTAAGGCATCTCTACTGCAAAATGTAGTGAGACTCAAGTTGGTAGACTGCAGGATGTGTCTTGGCCAATCGGCTTTCCGAAGACCCTCATGTGTCAGTGGCGGTCCTCGAGGCAGGGAAGTCGCGCTTGAATGACCCAGTTGTTTGTGAGTCCTGTACAAGACTTCTGTCATGACGCGCTACTGAAGATCTTGCAGCAAGTTCCATGGGATACCTCAAGGAACTCAGGAACCCCGAGTATGACTGGATATTCCCTGTTGTGCCGCAGCCGAATGCATCGACCGCGCACATGATAATTTGGAGTCGGTGTGTCTCGTTGCACGCTGCGCATATCATTTTTGTTTACTTTGCCTTGCTCTAGGGGAAAGATGCTCGGCGGAAGTTCTGCGATAAATCTCATGGCATACACTAAGCCCGCCCGCGAGGAACTCGATGGTACGTCCGAGCTTTTCTACCGTGCCATTCACGCTTGACTCCAGGCTCTGCCTAGCTCATGAAGCTCTTGGAAATCCCGGCTGGAACTGGTCCTCCTACCAGAAGTATGCGAAGAAGGTCGAAAGGTACGTTGGGGATGTTCAAGGACTGATATCTCGTTTTCAAGGCATTCGCGATAGATTCTGCGCTCCTGCCTCTGCGATCATGGACGAAGACTTTCGCAACTTGTACAATCCTAATTCCGTTGGGCACGATGGTCAGTCCTGCTCTCTGCTCAAAATAAGCGACAGCTCAAACTCAGATCGCAGGGAATCTCACGTTATCTTTCGTTCCGACTGGATCTGGCGCGGATGCTGCGTACCAGAAGGTAGTTCTTTCCCGCTATCGATTGATGCTTTGAGGATTGATGTCTGTACTCTGACCAGAGTTTGGCCAGGAACGGCTTGGATATACGGACTGATGCGGTATGCATACCCTTATGTTTGAATATATTCGGTGCTGTTCTAACATCCAAATCAGCTCGATGGAGAAGTGCGTACTTGTAATTATGTCCTATATCGGATGCTGACGTTCAGAAGATTATTGGTATTTGGAAGGGACTATCAACCATCAACCCGAAGACTGGCTATCGAGTCGATGCTGCGACGGTGAGTTCTGCTGCGCAGCAAAAATGCCATTATTTACTCACAAGCTCGTCACGTCAGGCGTATCTGCATCCCATTCTCGACAGACCGAACCTCAAGGTCCTCCCAGAAGCGTACGTCTGCCGGATTCTCACAGAAACGGAAGCCGGCGGCGTAGTCGCTCGCGCAGTCGACTTCGAGCATGGCAACAAGCGGTACACCGTGTCCGCCGCACGCGAAGTCATTATCTCTGCCAGGTAGCTCACCTACCTCGATCTGCTGCATAGTAAGCTGATATTGTGCTGCAGTTCTATCAAAACTCCGCAGATTCTCGAGCTGAGTGGCATTGGCGACCCGAAGGTCATCAGGCCGCTGGGAATCAAGACTGTTGTCGAGCTGCCCTCTGTTGGCACTAATGCGCAAGAACACATTGTAGCCACCGGTCTGAACTATCGTGCGTGCATCAAGTTTAACCTCTTGTGAAGCTTTGCTCAATGCTGTCTCAACATCAGGAATGCAGGACGACAGAAACATCGTTACCAACCACATCCTCGTTATAAAAGAACACATGGCCGAGGTGTACAAACGTCTGTGAGTACGTGCCTCTTGTCGTGGTTTCTACCTGACTGACACGTCGAAAAGCGATCTGAAGACTGAGTATACCCTGCTTATCAACAACTTTGCCTTCATCCCACTCCACGTCGCTTCAGATAAGGCCGAGCAGCTGATTGCGAAGAAGAAAGCAGAGCTCGCTCAGAGCGGACCGTCGCTACCTCCCGGCCTCCGCAAGCAATACGAGATACAGCTGCAGCTCATGGAGAGCAAGCGCGGCGCTGACATTGAGATGATGTCCTCTGCGGTCGTCCCTCAGCCAGTGGCCGAGCCGTCCAAGCCGCACATGGCCCTGGTTCCGGAGCTGACTCACCCGTGGTCGCGCGGTACCATAGTGAGTCCATCCTTGTTCGAGCATGCGGACGGCAGCTCATGCACGTTCTCCAGCATATCACTTCTGCTGATCCGAAAGCACATCCGCACATCGACCCACACTACTTTGCGGACGACTTCGACCGCGAGATCCTCGCACAGGGTGTCAAATTTGCTCTCAAGATTGGCGAGACTGAGCCGCTCCGCGGCCTGACCAAAGCACGGGTGGGCCCACCTCCTGAAGTGGATCTATCGACAGACGAGAAGATTAAAGGCGAGCGCCTCCTTGTGTACTGCTGCCCCGCAGCATGCTGAAGGAGCTCTCTAGAGTACCTGAGCGCGCATATCACCACGACCTGGCGTACGTCATCTTCATTTCTTGCGCGGACTATTCAACATTAACGCAGGGTGCATGCAGATACCTGCGGTACCGCGGCTATGCTGCCCAGGGAGCTGGGCGGTGTGGTGGATCCGCAGCTGAAAGTGTACGGTACCAAGAATATCCGTGTCGTCGACTTGTCTATTCTACCGTTGCAGCTCTCTGTTCACCCCCAAGGTACGTGTTCCCTTGTAAAGGCACTGCCAAGCTTTCCAATATTTGACTGCAGCTTTCGTGTACGCTTTGGCCGAGAAAGGTGACACCACTTCCTTTCAAAAAAGACCGATGACTAGCACTAACCGTATGCATCACAGCTGCCGATATTATCAAAGGAGTTACGGTGTAGGTGGTCGCCGACCTTCTTCCTTACTTTTGGATCGCTTGGATCTCGCTGCTTTTCCTATTGACGCGAGGTGCTATGTCGGGCTCTATGGATTAGTCCAAATGCACAGAGATACAGTCTTTTATGTATTATTACAGCCATACATCGCCTTCTGACGCGCCGAAATTGAGTGCACAGGAACCTGCTATGGCTCGCGGTGCTTCCAGTGACATCTACAGTATCACTGTTGTGAGCTTCAGGCCTTCAACACATTATTAATCCAAAATTTAGCACATTCAAGGGACACGGCACGTTCAGGGCAGTGACTAACACTATAGGCTTGAACTTCAAAGCTTCCAGCCTTGCTCTGCTTCTGCCTGTAGCTTGATGTCGGACGCCGCTATGCTGGCGCGCGGCGCATGTGATGGCGCATCAATTCCTCGGAAAACTTCATGCGCGCGGCGCGGAACGAGCTTGAGTACTTGGACTGCATGCACGATGCATGCCTCAAATAATGCACGGAATTCGACTTAGATGCAACAGAAAATGGGTCGTTAATGCGTCACGGGTACTTGTCGTATCCTTAGGCCCTACTATACTCGCTATGATAATGAAACAGTGTGTACCTTTGCAGCTCGGTTAATGTAAGCTAGGTAGACGGAGAGCACGATTGGCGTGGAATTATCGCGCACCATGGCCGCAGATGCAAGACAATGGCCACTGAATATATCGCCTTGTGCGGTGAGCGATGCAGAAGTCGAGGCCCGCACGACCAGGTCGAGCCTTATAACACACCAAGGCGTAGTCTTTGGCTATCCAAACCACGACATTATGTGGGGGTTCAGCCAGCACTTGCATTGCATGGAATGGTTCGTGTGCGTACCGGAGGCCGCGCAATTCGAGGCCGTATCACCAGAAGAGGTCAGCGGGGCAGGAATACAAACCATAGTACGCGGGGCTGCACGAAATGTCAGCCAACATGCGCACTGAGAGATAGAGTAGAGAGCGCACTTGTTGTGGGGCATCCGCACGGGCTCTCGCCAGACGTGACATACCAGACGTCAGACCCATTTTGAAGTTAATGCTCCTGGTCTGAACGTGTCGTTGATAACGATGACAGTCCAGAGTGCGGTACGTGGGACACGGAAGGAACAAGAGGTCGGAATAAAACGCACACTATCGTGGAAGGAATGCCAAAGGGTGCTTCGCCCTCGAGCAGAGTGATGCGTGTCATGGCGTGCGGGGGGCGTCCATGACAATTCGGGTGACTTCTACTTCTTGGCAAGCTTTCTGCAGCAGTACGTGAATTCGAAACCAGTAGGAAACCGGCAACGAGCACTTACGGAGCATGGCAAGGCTTCAGATGCAAACGATTTCACCGGATCCACCCACACCGTCCATAGCTCGATCTTAAGCCTCGTACACATCTCACCATTGTCGAGCGTTTGGAGGGCGCCGACAGCTAGCCGCGGCGTGCTGCTGAAATTATCGACGCCGACGCTGACGATGAGCACGATTTGCTGCAAAAGATAGATTCTACGCGCAGCATACCATGTTTCAGGCGCGGTACAGGTGTTCGACGACAGGTTGAGGCGCATGTGCGAGATCGTGTCGACGGTGAAGTACCGGAGGGTGGTGGTTGGCAGCCAGTCGTCTTGCGCAGGTCACTTCTTGCGCACATCCCATCGTCTCTGTTCGATTTCTAATCCGAGTCGTAAATTTCATGCTGCACGCAACTTTACGGAGTGTAGCTACGTGTTTCATGCACACGAGCTACACTCCGTGGTGGATGTATCCCGGTCATGCAATTCGTGCGTGGAGGCGATGGGAAGGTTTTCACTATCTTAGGTGTGCACACCGGCGAGAACGATGTTGAAAGGGCGGTGATTATGATAAGACGGTGATATGCCTGAATGAAACGGTGGTTAATCGTTACGAAGGGATATTCAGCGTGCAAAGTCCGCGCCCAGGGCTTACGTAATATCCGGATTCTGCCGAGCGCCTGCGCTGCGGAGGTTCGCAGCAACTGACAGTAACGTCTCGTTGGTAGGTTGGTGTGGGATGAGCGGGAATACATACGGGATGCGAGCCATCACTTTGTGGTGTGTTCAACTTTTGATTTGAATCCGGAAATGAGGCTGAGAAGCTGTCCGTAGAGACTGCAGGGCGCCAGGATGTTCACTTACAAAACGCCGCGGATAGATTTTCAAGTGTCTTAGGGTGAGGCAATGCGAGAAGTCTTCCTACATCTTGAGCTGAGATGGCGGGATATGACCTGAGACACTCAGAAGCTCGTAAAAGCAGCGATGAGGCTCCCACTACGATGGGTCTGCTGTGCATCAGGATTCCTTGAGCTTCTCGCATGCAAGTGGTGCACTCAACGTACTAATCTGTTGCTCCCCACTGGCAGGGTCACAGAAGCTGCTATTGTATCGCATGGAGTATCATAGAGTCCCTTGTTAGCATCTCAGAAGTTCTCACTCGGTGGTTACACGGAAAGTGGACCAGTTCGCACATTCTACCGTTATCGAATTTGGGCGGCGTACCGAGAGGCCCGGGGTTCATCTGGCTGTAACAGTCGGTGAAGTCAGAGCTTCCCTTGACACGTGAGTGAAGAAGCTTGAGCAACGTAACCTCACACGTTCAACTTCGATGAAACCTTAACTGATATATCTTCTGGAGACGGGTAAGGGCTGATATACTTCTAGTAAATTTTTCTTCTTGGTCGTACATCAGCATCATAAATGCAGCTAGACCGCCAGTGAGGATAGTCAGTGTGCAACCCTTTTGCATCCGAGCCGTCAGAAACGGAAAGATAGAAGCGGTGTATAGCTCAACACCAAAACGCTCTGTTCATTTTGGGGTATTTCTCATAAATACGAGACCATGTCATCTTACAGCCGGCAGTAGCAAGACTTCATCTGAATAATAATTACAGCCCGGCGACGCCGCGGAGCATTTCGACCTTCCCGGGTGAGCGAGACCGGAAGACGCAGTTGAATCGTTTGGGAACGCTTGTACGAGCTCGGATCAGCGACACAATGCAGCACGAAAGAAGCAGAAGCTTACCTAACTGCGCGAGGCTCAAAATCGGGAACAAGGCCCTCCGGCGGGGCTTGGATGTCCAATGTTGCAAGCAGAGTGGATATCAAGACGAATACCGACTCTTCTGCGAGGGCCTTCCCCGGACAGATCCTTGTGCATAGTCAGCCTCTGAGCACCCGAGACAGGTAACATGTGAATAGTACCGTCTGCTGAATCCGAATATGTATTTAGATGGGTGTACGGTGGGGCACTCCTCGTCTAGAAAGCGTTCTGGGATAAACGCTTCTGGCGGGTATTTTAGATTCGGTTCCATCGCGATGGCCCTTGGAGTAATTCTGCGTTATAATCCGCGTGGACGTTCTATGATACTATAGACGTACCAGATATTCGGACACAAAAGCGTATTCTTGGGAATATAATAGCCCTCGTATTCGTCGTCGGCATCCGCGACACGGGAGATACCTGGCAATGTCAGAGGAGGCTGCGTCCAAGACGAGAGGCACCTACTGAGGGGAACAATCGGGTACCAGCGCATAACTTCCTGAACGAGCGCATTGACATAGGGCAGGCTATCCCTATCCGAGATGTTAGGGAGGCGGTCCGCGCCAGTCACCGAATCGATTTCTCGTTGCGCTTTGAGTTGCTTGTCGCGATGGAGCGCCATGGCAATCATAAAGACTGTAACAGTCCCAAACGTCTACATCTATGTCAGCTATGCCTTTGCAAATGCATTAAACGGCGCACTGTTTCTCCGCCGGCTGTTGTCAAGGTACAACGAAGTTCAGTGTCAAAATACATGCACTACGCCGCTTTGCAAACGCACCAGAAAACATAGATCCTGTCCGTTGAGCATAAGTATACGTACGATAATGTACTCGAAGGGCACACCTGTAGTCCACTTGATGCGCTCTTCCACCTCTACCGTCATTGATTCTTTCGGGATGCTGGCAAGAAGATCGTATGTGAGGGACGGCTCAGCGCTACCTGCAGCCTTCGAGAGCCTCAGCCACACACAAAAACGGAGAGTAAGACCGGTAGAAGACGCACTATGGCCTGCTTGACGCGATCGTAGGGTATGAGGGCGAATCGTTCAAACAGACCTCGAGCGTACTGTGCTTTGCGCCGGAAAGGTACCCACAGCGGGAGGTGCTTCACTGCGTACAGTTGTCAATATCAGCCGTCTGTGTCTGAGAAAGTCCGCACTGATGGGTATCATGTCGCATAGATATGCCCCAGGACGTATAGCCGCGGTAGCAACGTCCATAACTTCTTCAGCGAGCGCGATATACTTGTCACTGCGTTAGCAAAAGAAGATTGACGAGGAACGGGGAAAGCACACCTCAGTGTCTGTAACGCGCGCCGACAGACCGTACGTCACAGAGAGGACAATTCTAGAGGTGCACCTGTCAAAGTATCACAGTCAGTCTTCGAACTACAGAGTACCTGCTGCACTTACAGCCTGGTAAGATCATAAAAGTTTTCTGGATCTTTGAGAATATCAAGCGCAAGCATGGCCGCAAAGTGCTCCAGCATGGGACGGTATTGCTTCACCGCCGTCGGGTTCATCGCAACATGCTCCAACTTGCGACAGGCTCTCCATTCTGAGCCGTATGGCATCAGCGGAATAGACTGGAAGATGTGCGTCAGCGATAAGTTTCAGAGGGAGCAAGCAGTAAGTATGCACTCGATCAAGGCCCATCAGCTCGCCTGCGACAGTCAACACAGGCCGATTGGAGTAAATGTGGGCTCGCTTATCCAAAAGGTCTTGTGCAGCTTCGAGGCTATTCAGGACTAAAACCTTGCGATTAAAGATTCGAAGGCCCAAGAGGTCTCCTACGAACGGCTTCGGTGAGGTTTATACGCAGACCACGGAAAACGGCTCACCAAAACTACGTCTCAAAGACGTGCCAAAACGAATCCACTCGAAGTCGGAGGTGAATTCATGTAAATTTCCCAAGACGGGCAGTCCACGAGGTCCAGGAGGAAAGGGCCGGCGCTTTCGACGAAGGATGAACGCGCCAAGGACAGCGGCGACAGCTACGAATAAGCAAATAGACGACGCGGAGACGTGCATTGCAAGAATCATTGAGGATGGGACATGCGCTAGTTCCGCTGAATTAGTTCTAGAGCCGACCACTTTATGACGAAAGACGCGATTCGAGCAAACAGCGAATTTGAATCCAATACAGCATTACAACCATAACCCTACCATCTTGATCCGTGAGAAGCCCACAGATCCGGGTAGTCCGAATCGGGCCTTAACCATGGGCCTTCAGCGTTCTGCATTAACACCAGTCCGGGAACTCCATCGCTGCGCGGCCGCTGGGAACACTCGCCGACCCTTCGCATGGGCTACAGTGCTGTTTTTAGGGCAGCGCCGCCCACGTTCGTAACTTCTCGTGGCTGATACAATCATGCAAGCAGCGGCAAGACGTGACCACCATGCAATCCGTCCAGATGGCTTGTTGCACATGGCTACTTCCATTCCTGGGACAATTCGGTGGGCTGTGATTCAGGCTTTGAATGCGCTGTGTAGCTCAGTCTTCGCAAAGAATCACAAGAAGCGAAGATACGTGAGTTTCGGCCATCGCCGGTTCATCACAGAAGCCACGGTGGAAGTGCGTTCATAGGAACGTATGCGTTTGCCATCGGTCAAGTCAGTAAGTGCTGTGCTGACATCTTATTGTGCGGAAGTGAGCTTAGCTTTTCATCCGAGTGATAACCCTGCCATCTTTCACACTGGCTTCAGCCTATAGAATCATCGCGTAGCTTAAATTAGTATGCATCGAGCTTCTGGTTGCGCATTGCTGACGCAATAACCAGGGTAGTATGTCCGAACCAATGTTTATACCGTAACGCGTAACGGTGAGTTGCCACGCAGCCTGAGGGAATAAGACTGACCTCTCAATGCGGCATCCCACATGAGTCCCTCTGATGCCCTGCTAGCTTCTTGTTCGCGGAAAGCCGCACGGAGCGCTGCTCGAGTTCGGTCCCTCGAGTCGGGGATTTTATGGGTGGCATGCCGACGGAGGGAAACGGAGGCATATGTAACCGATCGTCGGTATGACACAGTGAACAGGGCATATGCCAGCGGATGCGCAAAGAACGTATCATCTTTGCCAACAACCTGAGCGCGGATCCGAACGATGGCGACCGGGACGCGCGTGCGGGTACGGTTATATCAATAGACGCCTGTGCCACGACGGAATGATGCGCATCAGGCGGTGCGCCGCCCCGACTTGATCCGTAATTACAATTGATGCGCCTAGGGCGCTCCAGACGCTGGCGTCCGTTTGATACTCCGCGCTGTCTGCCTTATACTCTATACAAGCATTACTTAGAAACCTGCAACACACAGTGTATTGCGTACATTGATATAAATAGAAGACGCGTGGCGGTGAGTATACAAGATCAAGAGATTCGGGCCTTTGAGGTCAGCGTGCTCCGCGTAGTTCGGGGTCCGACGTCCGATTTTGAGCCGTGGAGTCTGAATCATAAGACAGGAATTGCTGAAACTCGCCCGGCGAAGTGCTCTCTCAAACCTTGACATCTTTCAACTGCGCACGAAGTTCGTGGGTACCGTGAAACTAGACAGACAGAAATACGCACCTCGTGTGATGAGTCGTCGTCGCTTCGAACAGCCATGGACCTGTCTATCCGGATAGCGAAAGAGCTGTCCTGTGATCCCCGTCAGGCCTAGCTTGCCGCGAAGGGCAATGAAATCTCTCACCTCAGACTGCCCAAGCGCCGTACGATGGGGCATTCGGGCGAGGGGTATCTCGCCGGTGCCTATGCTTCTCCCGCTCGTCCCGCTTGAAGAAGAGCCGGACTGCGCTATAGGCTTGAGATCCACGATTTGGCCGCGGCGGAAGTGTTTGCGGATGTTGAGATTGGCAAGGAGCGTGTTGAAGTAAAGGGAAGCGAGTGGGTACTCGAAGACGGCGTAGACGACGCCGGTAGGACGCCACGCAACCTATGCAACGTCAGCGCAAGCATTACGTAGCGTGCTATCGGTACAGACCAGACTGAAATCGACGAGTGCGATGATGGCAGTCCAGAGGCCAGTGTTTATCGTCAAGATCAGAAGATTATGGATGAGTTCGCTTGACCTGGTGCCAAAGATTCGGTCATGCTGTGCGCTCCAACTGGCGGAGATATAAAGCTCTCACCTTGGTAGCAAACGTATGTGCCTCTTCAGCAGGAGAAGGGTTGTCATCCATGCCGCGATGAGGGTGTCCACGAAAGAAGAGACGGCTCGACAGCTAATTTCCATAGACTTGATCACAACTCAGTCAAATTCATTTCAGGCATGCACGATGGGAGATGCATACCACATCACGGGAGCTTGTGAGGGAAACTGCTATCGGAACGTTTTTCGGTCTGTGTTGCGTCGTTTAAGAACTGGATCAAAGGGTGACAAAGGTACTGACAAGGCCCAAACAGTGTACACTGGATAGGCACACGTCAGTCTTCGTGCGTGGCAGGAATAGCAGATATTCCACTCACATGAACCGCAGACTGGTTGATGAAAAACGCTAAATGGCCACCTCGAGTGTTAAATAGAGATATAACTACTCACCTAGTTGATAAGAAGAGATCACTCCCTAAATGAGGTCAGCATGGATTAATGACTAGATGAGAAATGCGCACAGCGAGTGCCAGGCAAGTCACAATAATCCAACCCTTCGTAGAAACTAGATAAGGCGTCAGCACGATTAATCACAGGTATGCATGACGGGTATCTACAGTGATAGATGCGCCGAAGGAAGTAGAACTGGACCGCCACCGCAATGACGTTCTGAAACGGATGTTAGCCGCTTCTCATTAGGATATGGTAGGGCGCGTACCGAGAGCAAGGTGCGTATCTTGGAGAGAGGAAGATGAGTATAATCCTTACAAGATCGTGCTTCGAACTGTAACGCACAACGACAGACCTATGCAAGATTAAGGTTAACGATGAAGCAGATGCTCGAATTAGAGCATAAACAGACTTACGATGGGAGAACAAGGCCTTCAAGGCTTTGACTGGTGATGGTGAGGAAGACTGCGAATACGGTTATGCATTTGGTTACGTCATAGTACGGCATATAACTGCGCGTACCCGTTGCGAAAGTTAGCGCAGTAATGGCCGTGTTAGTCAACCATAGGGCCATAACCTGTGGCAAATCAAATCATCAGTGGCAGAAGACTGGGTGCTCTGAGAGGCAATACCAGAAGTTTCAGTGCCCAGTGGTCAGTCCTGTAGCTGCACGATAGTAGTCAGCTGACAAGCAGGCCAAAAAGATCGCGCAGAACAAACTTGACGAAGTAGAAAAACCTGCAGCGGAATCATCACAATCAGTGGAAAATTTTAACAGTAGACGGGGTACCTGGTACGTACAGCTGCATGCATCCCGCACCCCAAAGCGCGGAATCGAGAGCAGCGCCGACCATATTTCCAATAAACAGCTGCGTAAGATTGAGACTAGCCATTGGAAATGGCTGGACGGGGTCAGGCCTGAGAACGATGCCTCCAAACACTCTGCGCTTTATACCATGATCGAGCTCATAGACAGGGACCGGACGTGCGCTCGTGCATAGTAGCCCGTGGATTGTTGGCACACGGATCCATGATGGATCGGCGCTCAGAAGAGCCTGTGGTGTAGGCTACGCGAAAAATGCTCCTCGATGCCATGAGCATTTGATCCTTGACTAATATAAGGTTGAGAGACTGTCAGCTGGTAATGGTAACTGTCGCGTTAAAGGCATCATGATATGATCGTTGAAATTGGTCCTGCGCTTTCGGAACACAGAGACATCTGCTCTGAAAGGGAAGGACGTCGCAGTGTGTACGATGGAGCATATGACCTGTACTCACTTAAAAACAATTACTCACGTAAGCTGAAGAGCACGATGCCTCGGACCGTAATAACGAACTTCGGCTCGTCGACCGTCTCTCAAGCGTGCACGCTCGGAAGATGCCGAGCGGAGCGCTATCGGATATTGAAATAGTCAATAGGTGTTTCTACGAGACAATGTAGCAATCCCTGATGTACGGTGGCCCGCCCGACGAGTCATTCACTGACTCCTAAAATCAATGAGTGCGTGAAGCGGCCTCAATGCCTCCGTTGACCTTCTAGAAAAGGTACTGTCCTCTTGCAGTCGTGACCCGATGTAACCGCCTCGCACCGAGCGCACTGCAAGGCCGCGCCCGCCAGCACACCATCTGCGACCCTGCTGCATCACTGTCCCTGGCGGACGACGCGCGGGATTGGAAATTGTCAGATAGAATATATTGGCACTTCCCCACGTCTATCTCCATTCCTTCCTAGCATCCTTGTTCTCGTCACATCTCTAAGATGGAAGGCTCCCTATCGGTTACGTGCTTCACCATGGGAATCGGGTGGCCCAGAATATCCCAATGACATGCGTGAACCGTCTGGTACTGTTGCTCGCATCGGCCTTATATGCCAATTTCTCCCCACGCCGTTCCGCCCTGTTCGCCCAGCATGTTCGCCTTCAGGAGTCAACCACTCAAGGCGCTGTACCTGCTCGTCTTCGTACCATTCACACTATTCGTGCGTCTGCCCTACTGGGTTCTCGTCTCCACGATTCCTGCATTCAGGCCGCGGAAGACATGGTCCATGAAGCGCGCCCTCAGCCTCTACATCGTCACTACCAACAATAACTTGACTTACACGACCGGGTTCAGCGCGCTTCCGGGTAATCCGGAAAAGGAGAGCGCCAAACCAGAGACCACTGGCTTTGCGTGGGTCGATGCCGTGCCCGACGACCTCGTCACCGGCGAGTTGGCCGAGTTCGCCCGTCGAAACCAAGTGGCGCCCGCGAGGATCTACGGATATTGGTATGGTGCTCGTGGCGAGCATGGCAAGCCCGGGCAACACGCAGGCAAGAACGAGCGCGTCATATACTTCATTCATGGTATGTTATGCTCTTCACGCAGTTCTCAGCCACCATACTGATATACCGTTCACAACTTACAGGCGGAGGTCATGTGGTGAGTCTTCAGTGTTGCAGGAGGTGCCTAAATTGACCGATTCTACGCTAGATGGGCTCGGCACATCCATCCAATGTGTGGAGGGGTATCCCGGATGGATTCGTTAGCTATTGTGCCACCGTTGCCAAGCGAGTTTTCTCGCTCGAGTACCGTCTCTCCTCCTCCGCACCGTACAAGCCCGAGAACCCGTTTCCCGCTTCAATGCTTGACGCGCTATCGGGCTATCGCTACCTGATAGAAACTCTGGGCTTCGAAACGCAGAACATTATCCTCGTGGGCGACTCTGGCGGTGCGCAAACTGCAAGCAACCTGGTGCGCTACCTCATCAGCGCCCGCCTGCCCGGCCTCGTGCCGCCTAGTGCACTCGTCCTGCTCTCGCCGGCGATGGACTGGGGCAATACCCACCTCGGCACGCCCGCCCCGACGATGGACACAAATATCGCAACAGACTTCCTCCGCCCAGTGATGCTGAACGGGTACAGCGCGACGAGCATGCGGGGCAGCCTTGACGCGGGCGAGCTCGAGACGAACCCGTGGCTGTCGCCGGCGTCGCTCAAGCTAGCGCGCACGGATGGCCTGTGGGCGAACTTCCCGCCGACGGCGATCGTCGCCGGCGACGCAGAGCACATGGTAGACAGTATGCGCACACTCCGCGACCGCCTCGTGCACGACAACGGGAAGGATAGAGTCACGTATTTCGAGTATCCCGATGTGTTCCACGACTGGGTGTTGTTGCCGTGGATTGAGCCCGAGCGCAGCCAGGCCTTTAACGACCTGAGGAAGTGGCTGGAAGGCGTGTACGGGATGTGAAAGGGATGTGAAAGGGGAGGTGTGTGTGTGTGTGTGTGTTCTGCTGGGACTCTCAGAATATGTTTGGCTGACTATACGTTCAAGTTTTCACAGAATCTTTCCACCCTTTCAGTTGCACATGTCTTCATACGATCGCTGGCTATTCCTTCGTTTCTCGGGTTTTCGACAGAGATGTGAGCTTGTACATGCTATTGCCTCGTGTTATATGGCTGCTCACAAGACGCGAGTTGACAGCATTACAATTTTTTCGGGCCTTAGTGTTGACCGCACCACCATTGCGTAGATTTGTCTGAGG